GGCCAACCCCATGTGAACTCTTCAGGTCATTGTTCTATTAGGTGGGAATATTGCTGCACACTAACAGCCCCTTTAAGGCGGTAAATTGCCGACCTAAAAAATGTACAGAGAACTTTCACGGGCGCATAAGGGAGATAAAACACCTCAATTACGGGGGAGCGTTTGGGGGTTCAAAACCCTGTATTCCCTGGAAGCAGGAGGGAGAGATAATGATTATATCACCTGGAAAACCCTGAGGGACTAGTACTGAACTTGCACACGAAAATCACTCTTACGAAAGCAAAAGACTTGGCAACGATGCACCATCCCCCCAATAAAAAGCGGGGGTTTGTCACTGCCCTTTTAAGAGACCAAAATAGGGGTCGGGGGGCCCAGACTGTTCAACGCCTCCCGCACACAAAAGGGGGGATTCCAAAGACCCTGGCAGTCTTCAAGCTGGCACTGGAAAGCCCCAAAGCATTTCCGGATCACCCGGGGCTGTGGCTCGTATTTTGGGTTTGCGGACCCCGCAGAACAGCCTGGTTGATGGTTTTGATCCCCCGGATCCCGGGCTCAGACCGGCCCGGGGGCTTTTGACCCCGGAACTTTCCAGGTAAACCCCAGGAAACCCCTAACGATTTTAAATTTTGTTCCTGAGAAAATCGCTTGGGCGAGTTTTTTAGCATTTGTGAGGGAAAAAGTTTTCATTTTAAAGTACATTAGCCAATTTTTAAAGTTAGGTGTGCCATGTTAGCTGGGGCCACTGAATTAGTCAGCTGACCTTTCTTTTTTAAAAACCAAAAAAAGAAAAAATCACAACGGTAGGAGGTTTTACAGGGTGGATGGAGAACTTCCAAAAAAAAGGGAAATAACGCAATGGGAACTCTTAAAAAGGGTAGTGCTCCCCCATTTAAAATTGCTAAGTGCTGATGGCCCCATTCAAAGCAGGAAAATATCAAGCTGGGAAAAAAAAGAGAGCATTTCGGGTCACACTGAGCCCGTAAGGCACCTAATTACTGGGAAAAGCCTTTTTGAACAGAAATACTGGAGCAGAGGAGAGAGAATAAAAGATAATATGCACCTGGAAAGTACTCGAGGGACTGGTCCCAAATCTGCTCACTGCCATAACAACATACTGGAGTGAGAGATATGGGAAGAAGTGCAAAATAAACCCAGTGAGGAGCAGGGATGCTGTGGGCACAATAAAGGAACACTGCATCAACATTTGTGGCCCCAGATTATTCAACCTCTTACCAGAAGATATCAGAAACACGCTTGGAACAAGTGTAGAAGCCTTCAAGATGAAACTGGACAAGTATCTCCAACAGGTGCAAGATCAACCAGGCTATGATGGATATGTGGGCCAGCAAGCCTCCAGCAGCAACAGCCTGGTTGATCAGGCAAGCACTAGACAACCCCCCAATAGTAGTGAAACTCTCAAAACTCTTCAGAGGTATATCAAAGGTATTAATCCATTTACTATAAAAAATTTAGCCATACTCTGACTCCTCAAGTAGGAGCTTTGAGTAATTTTTAAATCTTGGAAATAAACAAACAAGTTCACACTGACCTACTTTACAATACCCAAGGGTCATAATCTCATCTCCAAATTAAACCTAACAGACAAATAGAAAATTACTATTTCTGTATTTTTTATAGGGAAGCCCTAAATGAGTAAAGTAATGGAGTACTTGTGGAATGAAAGGTAATCAGAGGTGATCCAAGGAAGGGAAATGTAACTCCAATTCCATGTATCAGGCATGCTTCACCAGTTGAAGGGTGTAAGAAGATGAGACAAGTGGCAAAAGTGTATATACGTATACTGAAGGTGGTTTTACTGGTCAATAACTACAAACAAGCATAATATGACTGACCAGTAAAGGCTACAGAAGCAGAGTAAATTATTTACAATCATCTCTTTTTTAAACTGATTCTTACTACAGGTCCACCTTGCTACTGCCAAATAAAATCAGCAAGCCTTTAGAAAGGATTAAAAAAAAAAAACTGACAAACCTGAATCAGTGGTGTGGTCTGAGCTTGGTGTAGAATCTGTGGAAGTAAGATTGCTACTGGAGCTATACCATTCTCTTTGACCATTCCTGAAAGACAGTATTCATTGTAAATTATTATTGCAAAGATTCTGCATATGGGTTCTGATGAACTATTATAAATAAGAGCTCACTTTGCTTCACAGCTGATTCCCTACCAATATGTTGCATTTGACTCACAACACATCATTCAAACAATTTTGTCTGAAGGAAATATCTTCCTTGCTTGTTCCAAAATTCTGCAGAATTTTGACTGAAAACAATGCAGTGGGTTCCCCCCACAAATGACTAATGCATACTTTTTTTTTAATTCAAATGCTTGGAACCTAGAGCCTATTTTCCCATAGATACCCATTATAATCAAAGATGAAATCTTACACCATATTAGTCCATATTTAATTTCATTAATTTAAAAAAAGATTTACCAAATATTTAACATCTGATATCACACTATATATGCAATTGCAAATAGTCTTGAACAATGTCTATTTAATGTGTACATGTTAATTAAAGGTGTGTAATGGTAGAAAGTTGAAAGTGAACATAGACAAGAGTAAGGTGATGAGGGTATCAAAAATTTAGATAAAGAAAAATTGGATATCACACTGGAGGGAGGGAGTATGGAAGAAGTGAATGTGTTCAGATATTTGGGAGATGATTTGTCAGCATATGGGTTTATGAAGGACAGGTTAACCACAGAATTAGAGGAAAAAAAGGCGAGTATACTTTGAGGTATCTTATTATTTATTATTTTTTTTATTATCACACTGGCCGATTCCCACCAAGGCAGGGTGGCCCAAAAAAGAAAAACTTTCACCATCATTCACTCCATCACTGTCTTGCCAGAAGGGTGTTTTACACTCCAGTTTTTAAACTGCAACATTAACACCCCTCCTTCAGAGTGCAGGCACTGTACTTCCCATCTCCAGGACTCAAGTCCGGCCTGCCGGTTTCCCTGAACCCCTTCAGAAATGTTACTTTGCTCACACTCCAACAGCACGTCAAGTTTTTTAAAAAACCATTTGTCTCCTTCACTCCATAAAACCCGCTCACGCATCCCGGGGAAAGGGTCCCAAGCCCCTGCACACAAAACCCTTTCCCCCCTCCATCCAACCTTTCCTAGGACGCCCCCTTTCCCCTCCCTTTCCCCTTCCACTACAGACTGTTACATCTTGAAGTTATTCTGTTTCGCTCCCATTCTCCCACATGTCCGAACCACCTCAACAACCCTTCCTCAGCCCTCTGGACAACAGTTTTGGAAACCCCGCCCCCTCCCCCAAAACTTCCAAATTTAGGGAATTTTTTTGATTAATTCACACCACACTTTTGCTCTGGGGACATACATCCCCCACTCCCCTCCACCCTTTTCTCCTCGCTGAAAACTTTTCATTACCCAGGGTTTCCCACACCCATTTTAAGGCTTTGGGTTAAAAACTATACTCTCTTACTTTCCCCCTGGTATCTGGGGGAAAAAAAAACTTTTTATTTTTTAAGAGGCAAGGGGGGCCCTTTTCGGGTTTTTAGGGGTTACTAACACTCTTTAGGGGTGTGAAGCATGGGTTTTTAAATACTGTAGAAAGGAGGGGGCTGGAGGCAGTGGGGGATATGTGTCTATGGGCCCAATGTGTGGGTTGAAAAATATTATCCCAGAAAATTTTTGCAGTGTGGAAACTAGGAGGTGGGGGGTTACTAAAAGTATTAGTCAAAAGGGGTGAAGAGGGTTATTAAGGTGGTTTGGAATTTAGAGAAAAAGGGGAACAAAACAGAAGGGAGGGGAAATTTGGGTAGTGAAGGGGGGAGGGGTTTGGGGTCCCCAAAGGAAAGGTTGGAGGGGGGGGGTTTTAAAAGAGGTTTTTTTTGAAAAGGGCCTGAACATGCAGCTTTGCATTTTTGGAGCATGTTAGATAGGATGTAAATGGAGACAATGCTTTGGGGTTTTGGGGGGACCTGACGAGCATTTGGGGATCCCGAGGAGGGTAATACTTAGTAAAGGGATTCACAGAAATCGGTTAGCCAGATTTTCAGTTTTGGGGAGGGAAGTCCCGGGGTCTCCTAAACATTCACTTTTTTAAAACTTTCGGGGGGGCTTCACACATTCCGAAATTCCCAACCCCCAAAATTCCCAGCCCCCAAAATCATTTTTAAGTTTCCCGCCAGGAGCCCTTTATACCCTCCCCCCGCCCCCGGGCAACTGGCAGCCACCCCCCCCACCCTGTGTGGTGAGTTTTTTGTTTTTTTCTTTTTTGCTTTTTAAAATACAGGAAAATAATGAAAACCCCATCCATGCCCTGCATTTTGGGGAATGGCTATTAGACAGGTATTGGAAGGTGACATAAAGGTTTTTATTTCTTGAACCAGAAAAAGAATAAAAACATTTGGGGTTTATGCTAATAATAATAAAATAATAATAATAATAATAAAAATTTAAAAATAATAATAATAATAAAAATTTATAAAAAAATAAAAAATAATAATAATAAAAAATTTTTTAAAATTTTAAAAATTTTAAAATAAAAATTTTTAAAAATTTAATAATAAATACGATAGAAATTAAAAGAAGGAAATTTTTCAAAAAAAACGAGGGGGGAAGCAGTGGTGGAGGAAGTGGTTGAGAAATCGTCAGTGTGGTTTTTTTGTTTATGCGGGAAAATTGGTTTTAAAGTCTCCGTGCTTTTCCCAAAAACTTTTCACAATAATTCATTGTATTTGGTGCTTGTAGATTGAGTGTGACTGGGGGGTTGGGTTGAGGGGCAGTGGTTAGGGGCAGTTTAGAGGCCAGGGGTAGGGCAGTGGTAGAGGCTTGATGGGGCAGTGGTAGGGGCATTTATAAAAGGGGGGGGCAGTGGTAGAGGATTTATGGGGCCCAGGGGGTAGAGGAGTGGTAGGGGGCAGTGTTTGAGGCAGTGATAGCATTACAAAATTTCCCTTACTCCCAATATGTCCATCTTTACACAAAACTGAAACCTGGTTAAAGCCTGATATTTACAGAGGGTCTATGCCTTTCCCTGGTTACACGCCATACCCAACTGTGGGCCCCAGACCAACGGGGGTGGCCAGCCATATATACTCGGGCCCCAACTAGAAGGGATCACTAATACTTGCAAAAGGGAATGAACAGGGGGAATATATAATAGCCAAATTAAAATTTCCAAAAAACCTTTCAAAAAACCCTCACATTTATAAACATTTTACAGAGTTCACAGTCAAACATTAGCCAAATTTTGTCAAAAAAATAAGGGGAAGGGTTTTATAAAATGTGCAGCATGAACAAAGATTCACTTTTACTCTCAGGTGACTTCAATATAAATCTCCTGCTAGACCCAAGGGCCCAACGTTATGAAAATTTACAAACACAATGAAAAAACTGTATGTTGCCCACCAACAAATAAAAAACTACAAGAGTTACAGAGGGCTAGGTTTTCCCTTTTTGAACCCCATTTGGACCCAAAACCATATCCCCCTTTAAAAAAACAGGCATAATTTCAGATAATACCACAGACCACTACCCTAAATTTCCCCATAACAATTTTTTGGGAAATTACCCCAAGGGCACCCAATAAAGTTTACCCTTTTAGACTTTACAATGGGCAGCCATTAAAAATTCCAACAGCAGTAGCAAACATTTTACTGGGCCCCCCTTTAGCTAGAATCAATAAAGAAAATTGACAAAAGTTTTAAAAATTTTCTAAAAAAAAACCCCCCAAAACCTCTTTAACAAGGGAGGGCCCCAAAAAAAAATAAGCAAAAAGGGCAGCTAAGAGGGCTGAAAAGGGCCCCGGCTAACACCCAGCATTCTCAAATCCCAAAATACAAAACACCAAAATGGAAAAAACCAGACAGAAGGGGGCACATTTAAACCCGGGGACCAAAAAAAACGTTACGTCAATCCAACCAGCCCGATTTAAAAAGGGCAAAAAAAAATTTTATTATGAGGGAAAAGATTATCCAATTACGAAAGGGGATATTAAAAAAAGACCTTTGGAAAAAACCCCTTTAGAAATTTTGGGAACAAAAAAGTTTTCCCCGGGAAAAAGGAAATAAAATTAGCAAAAAACAGGGTTTTAACCCCAATCCCACCAAAAGAAACGGGAAAAAAGGGCCAATGGGGGGCTTTAAATATAGGACCAAAAACCTTTTCCAATTTAAAAACCCCAAACTTTGAACCCCACCAAATGATACCCCCACCGGCAAAATACCCGAACCCTGTTCCAGGCCGACCCAACCCCTTTTTAAAGGTTTCCCTTTTGCCCAAAGCACTAAAAAAAAAAGGCAGGGGGATTTAAATACCTTACCCCCCTTTATAAAAAAAAAGTGTCAAAGTGCCATCAACCCTTTATTTTCAACCTCTTTAACAAATCCATTTAATCCTCCCCCCTTCCCAAAAGTACTAAAATAGCAAGGGTCCCCCCCAAACCACCCAAAAAAAGGGGACCAAACGAGTTGAATAACTATAGGCCCAAAAAATCCAACTTTTCACCCTCTCTCAAAAATTTTCGAAAAAATAATTTTATAAAAAAAAATCTACTCTACCTTAAAATTTCCCAAAAAATATCAACCCCTGCCAATTTTTGGGTTCAGGCCCAATAAAAATTTCTAAATTTATGCTATTTTTACACATGCTTTGAAAAATATATACAAAATGCAAAAGAAAAAAAAAGAAAAATCCCACTGGGGTTTTTATTGACTTACGTAAAAAACTTTTTGAATGTTGACCTTTACTTTGCTCCCCGTAAAAAATTGTCACCTATGGTATAAGGGGCACTCCCTCAACTACCTCAATATACCTCAGCAAAGAACCCAAAAATTTTGGTACAAAAATGGGGCAAACTCTTCTGACAACCAATTACAGTTGGGTCCCACGGGGAATTTCCCTTTGGGCCCTCTTCTCTTTTTCCTTACATAAATGCCCTACCAAAGCTTCGCAATTACCAACCCACACATTTGCTGATGACACAACATACGTCTTCTCCCACCCACCCCATCACGTAGCCAATATTAAAAACCGAATTACAAAAATTCTACCGGATGAGTACAAACAAATTACACTAACA